GAGAGAGAGAGAAAATGTGAGCAGCAGAGGGGCAGAGAGAGTGAGAGAGAATTTCAAGCAGGCTCCATGTTGTCAGGTGGAGTCTGATGGTGGGGCTTAATCCCACAAACTGTGAAATCATGACCTGAGCCAAAATCAAGAGTTGGACTCAGCCACCCAGGCACCCCCAGGCTGTTGAAGTTTTAATCATTTTTCCAGGGATTTCTATGGAACTAATGGAATTTTCCCACAATTGCCCCAAACCAGTGTTTTCTGCTACAAATTAATTTTCTCATTGAAGAGAAGATACCAAAAACAGGCATTATTCAAAAATGTCATGTCTTCTAAAAAAACAGGTATACTATATGCTTAAAAACTTGTGACCTACTTTTTAACATTAAAAATAGTTGTTTTGCTTGGAGAGCAAGGAAGATGAGTGATTTCCAGAATTATCTTATTAAATGACACTGTTGAATGTGACTTGATTTTGGGGGCCTACATTGTGAAGAACAATTGTTTTCTAGCAGCTACTTTGTTTCACAGTTGGATGAAACTGGTGATATTGGAGATTATAGGTTCATACTTCTCATATATGAGGGAGAAGTGCATGATGATGTTTTGTTTGGTTTAGTGGTTAAAGGAGAAAAGAGTATTTCATTCAGAGCAGATATTAGCAAAATGTGGCCCATGTAGTTTTTGTATGGCTCATGAATTAAGAATTTTTTTTTTTTTTTACATATTTAGTGGTTGAAAAAAAAAAAACAAGAGTAATATTTCATTCTGTGTGAAAATTATATGAAATTCAAGTTTCAGTGTCTATAAATAGTTTTATGGGAAAACACCATGCTCATGTGTTCATATATTGTCTGGAGCTGCTTTCAAGCAGCAGAGTTGAGCAGCTGCAACAGATTCTGTGACCTGTAAAGTATGAAATATTTTTTGTTTGGCTTTAAACAGAAAAAGTTTGCCAACCTTGATTTAGAGGCAGTTAGATGTCATGATTTAGAGCGAGGACTCTGGAGTCAAGCGGCTCCTTGATGTCTCATTTTGAGATCTTGGGCAAATTACTTATCTCTTTGTGTCTCACTTTCTCTGCCTGTAATATTAGAAGAATAACAGTGCTGACTTCATGAGGTGATCCTAAGGGTTAAATGAGTTAATATACATAAAGCACTTAGAAATGTGCCTGGCCCATGGTCATCACTAGCTATTAGATGTCAGTTGATATCTACGTATAAAATGTTAGTTGTCATTAAGTGTTATGTAGCTGATAATCACTTTGTAACATGAACTGGAAAATATGCATTGAAATTCTGATTGAAAATAGCTACAAATATATTAAGGAAATACTCGTTTGTTAACCATATGCTTCCAGATCTTGATTCAGTGGTGTTCAATGTAGTGAAAATTATGAATCTAACACAAAGCATAGATAGTGCATGTCTTTCTTTACATTGCTGCACATAAAGTGAGCATTGTATTAAAGATTGCTTTTCTACCATGCATTGTGCTAGCCATAGGGGAGAACTACTCACTTGAGTTTTTGAAATAAAATGTAAGATAAAATGTAATGTAAGATAAGTTTACTTCGTGCCTGAAAATCTAGTATGACTATTTCTGTGATTCCAAGTGGCTTTCTCAAGAGTCCCATCAGAAATATATTTGACGTCTTGAATAGCTTGAACCTATCACTTGTGACTGAAATTAATCGTTTTTTTTTTTATGTTAAGCATAAACTATCAGAATTTAAGGGATTAAACTATGCACTTAACATAAACCTTACCACTTTAACACATTTTGAAAGTATATTTGGTAATGTTAAGTATATTCACATTGTTGTGCATTGGATGTTCACAACTTTTTCATACTATGAAACAAAGTCTGTACCTATTAAATAACTCCCTCTTTCTTCCTCTTGCTAGTCTTTGGTAACCGCCATTCTGGTTTCTATCTCTAGGAATCTGACTACTTTAGATACCTTATATAAGTGGAATCATCCAGTATTTTGTCTTTTTGTGACTGACTTATTTCACGTGGCTTATTGACCTCAAGGTTCATCTGTGTTGTAGCCTGTGACAGGATTTCGTTCCTTTTTTTTTTTTTATTTTTATTTTTTTTAATGCTTGTTTATTTTTGAGAGAGAGACAGAGCATGAGCAGGGGAGGGGCAGAGAGAGAGAGAGAGAGAGAGGGAGAGAGAGAGAGGGAGACACAGAATCCGAAGCAGGGTCTAGACTCTGAGCTGTCAGCACAGAGCCTAATGCGGGGCTCGAACTCACAAGCTGTGAGATCATAACCTGAGCCGAAGTTGGACTCTGAACCAACTGAGCCACCCAGGAGCCCCGGATGAATACTATTCCATTATATGCATAGACCACATTTTGTTTATCTGTTCATCCGTGGATGGACATTTGTGTTGCTTTTACCTCTTGGCTATTGTGCATATTGTTGCTGTAACATGGGTATACAAGTATCTCTTTGAGATCCTGCTTCTAATTCTTTTGGATAAGTACTCAGAAGTAGGATTGCTAGATCAAATATGATAATTATAGTTTTAAAAATTTATTTATTTTGAGAGCGAGGGTGTGCGTGCAGGGGAGGGGCAGAGAGAGAGGGAGAGAGAATCCCAAGCAGGCTCCATGCTGTCAGCGCAGAGCCCAATGTGGGACTCGAACCCACGAACCCTGAGACCATGCCCTGAGCCAAAATCAAGAGTTGGCCACTTAACCGACTGAGCCCTCCAGCTGCCCCCATTGTAGTTTTTGGCATTTTTATCCATCCAGTTTTTAAGAGAGGTGATCTTATTAAAAGTATCTAACACAGTTCTCCATAGGAGGCTTACCACAACTTTTGGGTCTGTATTTGATTTGAATATCTAGAGCTATCTGACAGCCATTCATACTTTGTGCCATTATTCGGGATGTGTAATTGAGCGTTAAAATACTTTTTTACAGATAAGGAGTAAGGTAAAAAACTGCCTCGATTGGAACTTGATGTATTACTAAGTCATCCATTATTGAGATGAATATAGATCATGTCTGTGTAAAAGATGAAAGCTGATATATTCTTTTTCTAATATGAAAACTTTTTTTCACTATTAAAATTTTAGCTCTTCTAATTATAAAAGAAATATCATTACCAAAAAAATCAGGAAGATATAGCAAAGCACAAGTTTATATTTGGAATATAATACATACTGTATTTGTATAATTAATGTTGCTGCATTTGGCTGTAGTTTTCATTGTCCTGCTCCACACTGGTAACTAGTCTACAGCTTTCCATTTTCCTCTTGGTTTTCAGTTGAGGTTTTGCTCCATTTTGGGGATAAAAGTTTTCTAGGACTGCATGTACAAGAGTTCGTATCAGTTTTATACTTAGGAATTGCTAGATCTTCAGTGATTTATTTTTCAATTTGTATTTCTACCAGTAGTTTACTAGAGGTCTGGTTCTCCATACTTAATTTTTGTCTATACAAATGGATGTTAAATGACATACTGTGGTTTCTTTTTTTCTTAAGCTAGCTGTAGTCCCAACATGTGGCTTGAACTCACAACCCTGAGATCAAGAGTCCCATGCTCTACTGACTGAGCAACTGGTGTCCCTAAACTGTGGCTTAAAAAATTTTTTTAATGTTATTTTTTTTTTTTTTTTTTTTTTTTTTTTTTTTTTTTTTTTTTTTTGTTAAATTTTTTTTTTCCAACGTTTATTCATTTTTGGGACAGAGAGAGACAGAGCATGAATGGGGGAGGGTCAGAGAGAGAGGGAGACACAGAATCGGAAACAGGCTCCAGGCTCTGAGCCATCAGCCCAGAGCCCGATGCGGGGCTCGAACTCACGGACCACGAGATCGTGACCTGGATGAAGTCGGACGCTTAACCGACTGCGCCACCCAGGCGCCCCTTAATGTTATTTTTGAGAGAGAGAGGAAGTGAGATAGAATGTGAGTGGGGGAGGGGCAGAGAGAGAGAAGGAGACACAGAATCCGAAGCAGGCTCCAGGCTCTGGGCTGTCAGCATGGAGCCCCACATGGGGGTTGAACTCATGAACCACAAGATCATGACCTGAGCTGAAGTCGGCCACTTAACTGACTGAGCCACCCAGGTGCCCCCCTAAACTGTGGTTTTAAATTCTATTTTGCTTATTACTGATGGAGTTGAACATGTTTTCATGTGTTGTTTTTATCATATCTTTTTCTGTGTTAGGTCTGTCTGTTGTCCTTTATTTTCATTGGTTTGTTTGCCTCTTTGTTACTGATTTTATACATCTTTATTCTTTATGTATTACATATGTACTTATACATAAATATACACATATGTATGCCTACATAATAATATATGTTTTAATATATCTTCTAATTTGTAGCTTGTCTTTTCACTCAGTTTATAGTGTCTCTCAAACAGAAGTTCTTAATTTTAATTTATCAGTCCTTTATAGTGTATACTTTGAGAATCATGCTTAAGAAATATCCTAAGGTCATAAAGATTTTCTTTTATATTCTAAAATTTTTAAAGTTTTGCTCTTTATGTTAAAATCTTTAATCTGTCAGTTTAAGAACTTAAGATGTGGTGAATCTCTATGTAAAACACATAGTTCATATGTTTGAATACCCATTAAGGCTGTGAAGCCAAAAGTTTGGTAAACATTGTCTTAAATAATAAGGTAGTTGCAATAGTGGAAAGAGAAAATAAACATAGAAAGTGTTTTTACATTAATGATAGCTATTCCAAGAGATTTGTTAAAATATTTTTTTTCACAGCCTTGGTTGACGTCCGTTGTGGGTGATGGTCTCCCATTCTGATAACCTTTTTAGTTATAGACCACTGATTTCCGACTGAACTGGTCAGAATACTTGAGTGCGACTGCAAGAGTAAGCAAATCCCTCAAAACAAGAAGTTAATCATAGCATAATAGAACTGAAAAACTACCCAGCTTGTCTGTTTTCATATTACAACTTTTCAATACATAAAATGTGTGAGCTGCAGAGACCCTGAAGATGTATAAGAAGAGCACCTGAAGTCCGTGATGACTGTGCAGGTCTTGATCGTGAGCTCGCAGTGCTGTGACTTTCTGGTAATTCAGTGAGGGCCTTGTTTATCCATCAGTGTTATGCCACCTGCTACCCCATCTTCATTTTCTGCTGTCCACTGTTTGTGGTATCTTAAGGAAGAAGTAAAACCAGCCTTCCCACGTAAACAATTTATACTTGGAGATAGACCTTGGAGTGAACATAAAATAGACTTTTATTATCAGAGAGCAGTTAATGGGCTTGGTTGCATCAGCATTAACTTGAAGATAACATCTGTGATAAAATAGTCTAACTTAGGACGAAACATGACCTTTGAAAATATTAAAGTATTGTTTGTTATGAAACATAATTAACCTTAAGTCAATAAGTACCTGCCAGGAGTGCCTGGCTGGCTCATTCAGTAGAGCATGTGATTCTTGATCTCGGGGTGGTGAGTTCAAGCCCCATGTTGGGTGTGGAGCCTACTTTAAAAACTAAATAAATAAAGGGGCGCCTGTGTGGCTCAGTCGGTTAAGCATCCGACTTTGGTTCAGGTCACGATATAGTGGTTCTTGAGTTCAAGCCCCACGTCGGGCTCTGTGCTGACAGCTTGGAGCCTGGAGCCTGCTTCGGATTCTGTGTCTCCTTCTCTCTCGGTCCCTCCCCCACTTGTGCTCTATCAAAAATAAATAAATGTAAAAAAAAAATTTTTTTTAAACCTAAATAAATAAAAAATAAAATAAAAAGCAAACTTAAAATATTTTAAAAATATATTATGATACATTTATGATCATACTGATACTGTCCGCTGGGCTGGAGTCAGCAGAGAGCCCAGTGAAGTAATCTAAGTTAAGTAGAAGAACAAGTTTACATAAAGTCACACAACAGCCCAGTGTGTGTCCATGCATTTTTATCCCTCCTGGGAAAAGTGGAACTGATAGAACAGCTGTCCTCTGTCACCTAGAAGCCTCCAGCGTAACCATTGATGGGGCTTAAACATTGAAACCACGGGGTGTAAAATAAATGGATAACTTTTGTAGTTAGAGTAGAAAATACAAGTGTTCATTATCTGATACTGGTTTCTGGTATGAAATGGTCACTTGAATTTTTATTTCACTTTGTCTTTTCACTGTTCAGTGTTTTTTAAAAAGAAATTCTGTCCTTATCCTGTACATTTAGTATGTTTCTTGGCATTCAGCCATGTGCTACTGTTAGTATAATAGTAGGGAGAGAGTTTATTTCAATCTGTTTTAGCAGGCGTAATCTTTGACTCTTTGTAGAGGCAGACACAATAGACCATTCAGTATTAAGGTGTCTCTTTTCTCTTTTCCCATTTGGAGGGGCCATTAACATTTCCACTGAATTTACTACTCTGAGTAACAATCGTGAACTTGTTCTCTTTCAATCCACTTAATTAATATAATCAATAATTTTTATCTTAATTTGGGCTATGATGAATAATGATGGAATTCTGGCTTACTTTGCATTGACACTTTACATTTAAAATGGAATTGGTATTGGTGTATACTTAAACATGCAGTGACACAGGCATGAGAAGTCTTGGTTAATTTTGTTACTAAGATGAGTAATCTTGGCTAAGTTTTTCAAAGTTAGTAGGTCTCAATTTTCTGTCTGAAAATGAAGGTGTTAAACTAAATGATTACCAAGAACTATAATTCTTATGTGAACATCTTGTATAGAAACCAGCATTATGCAGAACTTTTGTAAATACTGTAAGTAGTATATGTGTCTGTATGTGTTTCTCTGTTTGAAATTGTTTTGTCAGTTTAAGTATGTGTATCTTCTGCTCAGAAAAGGTTATTCGGGATTTTTTGTTTTTTGTCTTTTTACAAAAATAATTAGATTTATTAAAGTTATAAATTAAAACAGTTTCACACTCAAATTGAACCCATTTTTAACAACTATGTTTGGGAGTTTGGTTTTTTTTTTTTTTTTTTTAATACAGCTTAAGACTCCTTTAATTTAAATTGTACTTAATGGGGGCATCTGGATGGCTCAGTAGGTTAAACTCTTGATTTCAACTCAGGTCATGATCTCACTCTTGATTTTGGCTCAGGTCCAATGTTTCTCACTGTTTGTGAGATCGAATCCTCAGTCAGGCTCTGTGCTGTCAGCATGGAGCTTGCTTGGGATTTTCTCTCTCCCTCTTTCTCTCTCCCTCTGCCACTTGTACGGGCTCACTGTCTCTAAATAAACAAACAAACAAACATTAAAAATACATTTTTGAACTTAAAATCATAAGCCTAGGGGAGTCTGGGTGGCTCAGTTGGTTAAGTGTCTGATTCTTGGTTTTGGCTCAGTTCATGATCTTGCAGTTTGTGGGATCAAGCCCTGCATCACCCTCTTGGGATTCTCTCTCTCCTTCTCTCTCTGCCCCTCACCTGTTCTCTCTCTCTCAAAATAAATAAATAAATAAACAAACAAACAAACTTAAAAAAATTATAAGCCTAAATCAGTCATTCAGTGACATTTAAATTGGGATCACAGGTTCAATTTTTTTAGATAGATACGCTAAAATGAAGGCTTTCTTATTCCAAGTTTTAAAAATACCAAACTTATACCTATTATGCCTATTTACAACTCAAAAGAGGTATACTGTGGGCTTGATTTACTTTTATTTTCCTTTCCCAATTACATCCCACACTCTTTCCTTTTCTCTCCCCACCCCAAATAACTTTCTTTTTTTTTTTAACTTTTATTATGTTTTTATTGTAAACCTACCTGGTTCACCAGGACCCTTTTTAGTTTCACCATCTCAAGCAATTCGAAGTTATCTTTCTAAGCAAGTTTGGAACCATGTTGTCAGATGACTGAGGTTAAACCTTATAAAATCTAGAGCTACAGACACCAGAGTGATTTGTGTTTCATTTAAGTGGGCATAAGTGGAACCTCGTTATATAGTCTCTGCCAGCAGTGACTCTTGAGGCCATGCCTCCCAAGTGGGGTGGCCTCCACACCTGTCACCCCTGGAGACAGGTCCACACCAGTGGATCCTCAAGTCTGACAGGTCTGCAGTCTTCATGCCCAGGAAGCATTGGAGTTTTTTCAGTTAATCTTTTTTTGCTTGATTCTGTTCTGTATTCTTTTATTTGTCAGGCTACAGTTTTTAAGTGTATTAAAAGAAAACCTATTTGGATTTTGCATGTCTCCCATGTCTTATCTGTGTTTACAGTCCTAGTTCAAAGGTTTTTCTTCTAACAGTTCTAACTAGAACAGCTTTGTAGAGCCCAAAGAATGTTTATATCCTAAACAAAGTTACAGAGGGCACATAAACAGGGCTTCTATATCTGGACCACATTCCTGTCTTACTCGTGTATTATGTAATGTGATATTTAACTCTCCAATTGTATCATAAGCTTTTTGGCATGGACTTTATACTGCGCTCTCCAGTGGAAATGTAACGCAGGCCACATATGTAATTTAAAATTTTCTAATAGCCACATTAAAAATAAGTAAAAAGGAACAGATGAAAACAAGTTTAATAATGTACTTTATTTAACCTAGTATAATCTGAACTCTATTTCAACACGTAACCAATGTAAAAATTATTGAGCTATTTTACATTCTTTTTTCTCATACTGAATCATCAAAGTCCATTGCTATTTTATTCTTACTGCCCATCTCCGTTCAGACAAACCATATTTCAAATACTCAGTAGCTGCATGTAGCTGGTGGCTATGGTTTTGGGCAGTGCTGTCTTATACTTTTGCAACTTAGTTCTAGTAACATAATTGTTGCTTTGTGTGTGTCATTTTAGTTACAGATTTCTCTAATTGAATAAAATACACGATATTTTTAAATGCCTATCTTTATTTTCTTTCTCTTTAAGGCTCTTCCTTCTTCAATGATTATAGTAGCAGTTTATTGTCCTGTGATAGCTGCTGTTTTCATTGTTCTGAAGATGGTCAACTATCGACTCCACAGAGCACTTGATGCCGGAGAAGTTATAGATAGGAGTGCGAATGAGTTCCCAGATCAGCGAGCCAAAGCTGAGCAAGGCAACTGTTCAACCAGGAGAAAAGACAGTAATGGACCGAGGTGAGGAAAACTCCTGCCACTCCGTTTTTACACTGCATGTGTACAGTGATGTGATGATTGTGTTGTGCCTCTGCTCTGATATGTGGTTTTAAGGCAGTGTTTGATCTTACCACCAGATCTTCCCGTTATATTAGAGGTATAATGACAGGTACAGATTGTCGCATTAGACACCAGCAAAGCTGATTGGCATATCTGGGGGATTAAATATGGCCTTATTACTAATAGCATGCTATACCAGTTATAACTTTAAAATATTTTATTCACACCAAAGACCAAAACCAATGAAAAACAGTGTAAGGAAATAATAAAGCATGGCTTGTAAATCTTAGCATTTATATTGAATTTATATATATAAATTAAATGTATACATATCTTAAGCAAATTGTGACATTTTCCTTGACATTTATAATCTGCAATTTTTACTTCATCTATTGTAAATATTTTTCAATGATATATTCTCACCGTGGCAACTTAGCTGTTTCTTCCCTCCATCTTTTCGTAACTGACCTCTTAGGATTCAATTTTGTATAGCTGTCACCTTCTCCTGGGGGTTTTCTTTCTCCATCCCAGTTCAGTATTCCTCCTATGGCTCTCAGTCACATTCTCTTCAATACCTTGGCCTCATCCCCTTTCTCGTGTTGACTGAAGGATTTACTTTATCCACAGTCAAAAGTTTATTGTGACTTCATAGAAATGATAGGTACCACTAATATAGGTCTTCAAAAAACAGTGTATGAACACTTGACATATGTAATAGTCCTCAAAACAATTCTGTGAGGTAGGTGCTCTTATTACTCCTGATTTTTAGATGTAGAAACTAGGGTGTGAAAGATTAAATATTCCAGGGAATCAGATCTGAAGTCCATGTTTTTAACCAACCTGTCATGTTTCCACTCAGTATAATATGAAAAGTGAGTACTCATTTTTTAAGAAAGGTGATGCTTCTCTTTTCCAGTGCATCGAAAGCCTTTGTTTATTCCTTTAAAAAAAATGTTTTTTTAAATGTTTATTTTTGAGAGACTGAGAGAGACAGAGTGCAAGCGGGGGAGGGGCAGAGAGAGAGAGGGAGACACAGAATCCGAAGCAGGCTCCACTCTCCGAGCTGTCAGCACAGAGCCTGACATGGGCACGAACCCACGAACCATGAGATAATGATCTGAGCTGAAGTCAGATGCTTAACCAACTGAGCCACCCAGGTGCCCCTGTTTATCCCTTTTCAGTTACATTTTCTCTACCCCAACGTGATTATCCTGTGTGTTCATTGAGCAGATATTTTACTTCTGTAATAATTTTGTTCATAGCACCAATCACTATCTGAAATTGCCTTACTTAATCATTTGTTTGCATTTGTAAGCTTCTTGAAGGTAGGGGCCTTGTTTTTCTTATGAACTTCAGGTTCTAAATCGGAGCCTGTCACTGTACTTAGAAAATATTTGAAGTAGTGAAAGCATTTCTTTTGCAATATTGAAAAAAAATTTTTTTAAATGTTTATTTTTGAACAAGAGAGACACAGGGTGAGCAGGGGAGGGGCAGAGAGAGGGAGACACAGAATCCGAAGCAGGCTCCAGGCTCTGAGCTGTCAGCACAGAGCCTGACATGGGTTCAAACTCACGAGCAATGAGATCATGACCTGAGCCAAAGTCGGACGCTCAACCAACTGAGCCACCCAGACGCCCCTCCATTTTTAGGTTTTTCATTGTATATTGTCAAATTCCAAAGATTTTACTTTATACTTACTGTGACCAGCAATTTGAGGGCTGCTTTCTCTGCACATTGACAACATTGAGTATTTAGTATTTAGGCAAAACTGTGGTAGATACCTCATTGTTTAATTTTAAGTTTTTGGATTACTAGTTAAATGGAGGTATTTTTCCTATGTTATTATTGTCACTTACATTGTGTGACTGGTATACATTTCTATTAGTGGTTAGTTTCTTACTATTGATACGGAGAAAATATTTATGAAGGACATTCTTTACATTTTGTGTGAAATACTTTTTTCAGTTTATAGCATTTTTTTAATTTATATGTCACAATTTATTTTTGTGTGTTCTCTTCTGTGAATGTTTATTAGTTCTGCCTTTGATATCAAATTGTGGAACATTTTTTCTTCCTCCATATAACATAAGTGTGTACCTGTGTCTACTTTCAGCATTTTTTGTTTTTTAGTTTTTTTAATGTTAATGTTTTATTTATTTATTTTAAGACAGAGAGAAACAGAGCATGAGTAGGGATGGGGCAGAGAGAGAGGGAGACACAGAATCTGAAGCAGGTTTCAGGCTCTGAGCTGTGAGCACAGAGCCCAACGTGAGGCTCAAACTCACGAACTGTGAGATCATGACCTGAGCCAAAGTCAGATGCTCAACTGACTGAGCCACCTGGGCGCCCCCAGCATTTTTCTTTTTATAATGTTTATTTATTTTTGAGAGAGGCAGAGACAGAGTATGAGCGGGGGAGGGACAGAGAGGGAGACACAGAATCTGAAGCAGGCTCCAGGCTTTGAGCTGTCAGCACAGAGCCCGATGTGGGGCTTGAACTCATGAACCGTGAGATCATGATCTGAGCTGAAGTTGGACATGTAAATCGTCTGAGCCACCCAGGTGCCCTTCCTTTCAGCATTTTTATAATTTTATTTTTCATTCTTAAATTGAAGTCAAGCTAAAAAATTCTGGTGGTTTTTTTTGATTTTGTTTTTTAGGTTAGTCCCAACACTACTGAGTGAATAATGCATTTTTGCCCCAGTAATTTTAAATGTTTTCCTTTTCATTAGTATACTTATATACACTTATGTCAGATTCTGGGCTTTGTTTTCTGCCCCATTGCTCTCTTTCTGTTTTGTTTATGTCATAATGCTTTTATGACTTACTAATATGCTTAATATTTAGTGGCATGAATCCCTTTTCAGTATTTTTATTTTTTTAATTTTAATTTTAATTTAATTTATTGTTTTGAGTGAGGAGTGCAGAAAGAGAGAGAGAGAGAGAGAGAATGAGAGAATCCCAGAATCCCAAGCAGGCTCTATGCTCAGTGCAGAGCCCAACATGGGGCTCAGATCCCACAACCAAGAGATCCTGACCTGAGCCAAAATTAAGAGTCGGACACTTAACTGACTGAGCCACCCAGGTGCCCCCTTGGTATTTTTCTACTTTAGTGTTATCTTGGTTCTTATGCATATACAGCTGACCCCTGAACAACAAGGGAGTTTAGGCGCTAAACACCCTGCCTCATGTAGTCAAAAATACATGTATAACTTTTGACGTCCCTCACACCCCCCCCACTCCCCCAGCCCCCTGCAAATTTACTACTAATAGCCTACTTTCCCTGGAAGCCTTACCGAGAACATAAACAGTCAACTAAAACATATTCTGTATGTTACATGTGCTATGTACTGTAGTCTTACAATAAAGTAAGCTAGAGAAAAATTATTATTAAAGTCATAAGAAAAAATACAATTACAGTACTGTAAAATGTAAAAAATCCACATATAGGTGGACCTTCACAGTTCAAACCTGTGAAGTACAGGGTTCACCGGTACTTAGTTTTCTGTGAGATGTCCCTTGTGTGCTTAGCCTCCAGAAAATTCTATTAGAATTTTGTTAAGTGTATTTAATATAGGGAGAAGTCAGCCTTTAAAATATGAAGACTCATCAGGGACATGGCGTATACGTCCAATTTTTCATTTGCCTTTTATGTCTCATATATGAATTTTTTCTTTTGGGGTGTATGTATTTTTTAAGTCTATTCTATTAGGAAATGCGTAACCTTGTATTATGGATAGATAAACCTGCACTTAACCTGCCAGGGCTTGAATCACTGCATGATTGTATGACCTTGGGGACTGACTTAAGCTTTTTATGCCTTGGCTTTCTCATCTGAATGATGAGGCAAATAACAGTACTGTATCATAGGATTATTATAAACAATGAATGAAAGATAATATATGTAAAACATTTAGAACCATTCCTGATACAGTTAGCTCCTGATACAGTAATTGTTAGCTCCTATTTCTTCTGGATATATGTTTTTAATTCCTTTTGTTAATGAATTATTTTTCCTTTTTTTTTTAGTTTAAAAAATTTTATTGTGAAATGTATATATATCTAAACACTTTATCAGTCATATTGTTCAATATAATTTAGGGAATAATAATTAAGTGACTACTTGATTCCCCACCACACAACTTAAGAAATAGGATATTATACAAATACCATACAGGCCTTCATGCAGTTCTTTCCCATTTCATTCTATTCTTATTCCTTTAAGAGTGACCATTATCTTGAATTTTGTGTTAATAATTCCCTTGACTTTCTTTATCATTGTGTAGTCTTTGTAGATATTATTAAACATATATTTATCTGCCTTGGGGTATCCTTAAGTGAATAATACTGTATGTCTTTTCTCTGCGAGGGGCTTTTTTGTGCCAAATACTGTGTTTTATAGGCTTATTCATGTGGATGCTTATAGTCATCATTTATTCCTGCTTGCTTTTGCATACTCTAGTAAACAGGAATAGACTACAATTTGTCCATTTTACTTATCCATGTGTTCTGAAAACACATTGTTGTGTGTATTTCTTGATACACATGTATGTATCTAGTGAACATAAGCTGGTTTATAGGGTATTGTCATGTTCAGTTTTGGTAGATAATTCCAGCCTGTTAGCCAAAACGTTTGTACCAGTTTACACTCCCACCATTAGTATGTGAAAGTCCTTCTTGTTGCATGTCCTCATCAATATTCGATATTAGTAAGTTTTAAAACTTTGCCATTCAAGTAAGTGTGAAAGGTGTCTCATTGGGACTTTCTGATTACTAATGAGGTTGAACATCTTACCATATATATTTGGTCCGGGTAGCTTTTCTGTTCTTTTCCATTGTCCATTCGCATCTTGTTTCATTTTTCTTTGGAGTTGTCTTTTTCTTATTGAAAAATAGGAGCTTTTGAAATATATTCACGGTACACTACTTTATTGGTTACATACATTACAGACATCTTCTCCC